CGATTTTTGATGCCCCTAAATATTCAATTATATTTCAAGGAAAACATATTAATTATTTTGCTCCTTTGGTACATAATCACGTCTTCTTCCAATTTTATACCCGAAGAAAGGGGTATAATTCGGTTTGAAAAGTTTCTAATTGTAAGATTTTAATATTGTGAAATGACCATTCATAAAAGGTCAGGTCTCTGCATGTGCCAATGTGGCTTGTAAAATTAACTATATGCCTCAAATCCACTGCTAAATTTTATGAACCTCTTATGATTTCCTCATAATGCCGTAGAGGAATTAGGGGTTTTCGTACGCCGTGAAATGTATGGCTTGTAGTTTGGAAACTCTAAATACGAGTGTAACAGCAGGTCGGATTCAAAATTAGACGGGAAATGGAAAAGTTTTTAAAAACCAAATCATACCCTCTCTTTGAGTATAAAATTAAAAGAAGACGTAATTTTGTATCAAAGGAGCAAAAGAATGAAATTTTTTATACGTGTTTCCACAAAATGTAATTGAACTTTTGAGGGCATCGAAGATCAACGAGAAAAATGCATGCTACGCAAGTAGTCATTTTTACAAAAGATAGTTTTTACATGCACCCGGAAATAAGTTCGTTCGAAAGCCGGCATCCTGAGGTAACTGAATTATTATAAAATTACGTTGCACGATGATGGAGTGTACAACCCCACTTGATTAATCTTTTCGAAACGGAAACACATGTCTGGATTTCGGTTGACATTTCATGAGTTAGTCCACCAACTATAATTCTGAAGGTAAAACTACTACTGCAGGTAGTTCGACGACTACCATCGCTGATACAGGAGCTGTTTCTGCTGCTATGGCATATGTTTCTCGCAGGAAAAGTAAGGAATGTTAATGGACCTGCCCCTACTGAGGTCCATATAACTTCACCCCTAGAAGGAGGGAAATCGCAATTGGTATCTGGAGGACACCTAGCCCAATACGGCTACTATATAGACTATTGCGTCTATTCTGCCGTGCGTAGTTGTATTACCTCCACCTGTGGAATAACTGCATTCGTTGTATTTACTACTGTTTATACTGCAACTGCATATATTACAAATACCAGGAGAACGTCTGCGTCTTCAAAATCGTCCGCCACGGCTGATAGCCAATGTTTCCGCTACTAGTACAACCACTAATATCAAAACCATTACTACTAATGTTGCCACTATTGATACTACAACGACTACTACTAATACTACCAATACTACTACTACTACTACTACTACTACTACTACTACTATCACCACGATTACTATGAGTACTACTGCACTAACGGGCGGCACAACTATTATTGTTACCACCACCTCTACAACTCTTATGGCTACTGCGACATATAGTAGTACTACGACTGCAAGTACCAGTCAACGTTACATTCAAAACACCGAGATCGAAGTCAATTGGCGCGCCTGCCACTCCCAACAGTAGTAAGGCGGTAAGAAATTTCCTTACCGCTGACATCACTACGACTAATTGATCGATAGGAAGTGCAATGTCTACGCAGCGGATACTACATGAAAGACTGTTACTGCTAATGGGTTTGCAACTAGCACTAACGCTGTGCCATTGTCAGTGAAAAGCAATACTGCGGCTGCTGGCAATACTTCTAAAGGTAGTGAGGTTAAGAAAGCAGAAACCACTGCCTAGACGAAAACTACTACTATTACTAATGCTGCCGCCGTCAATACTACTGACAATACTAGGACGTTTAATAATGGATGTAGTAACAGTATGATGACAACCACAGCCAGAACTAATGCTGCTCAACCCTTCTACAGCCACAACTACTGCAGCTCAGTAATCTACAACTGCTGCTGCCGGTACAACCACTAAAATCCCCAATAGTGTTACTACTACCAATACTACTTCTACTTCAAGTACTAATACCGCTGCCCCTAGTACTATTAATAATAACACTGATATTACTACTATTGCCACGAATACAACCGAAATGTTGCATACTTAAATACTAACTTGACTACAGCCAACAGTAGGGAAACTATTATAAATTCTACTATTCTAGCATGTAGCGCGACAGCAGTAACTACCGGTACTAGTACGTCAGCAACAAGCACAACAACCTCAATTAGTCTTCTGAAATCAGACTGGCTACTGCGGCTACTGCCGGTAACGGACGAATTGCCATTGCAGTCCGTACATCGAATACATCCGAGCAATGCAGAGCTAGTACTGCTGCTATGGGTAAGTGTCAGCGGTGATTCTGCTACCGTAGGGAACTGTTAGTAACGACACTACTACTACTACTACTACTACTACTACTACTACTACTACTACTACTACTACTACTTGTACCACCAACACCACCACCACCACCATCATCATCATCACCACCACCATCACCACCACCACCATCATCACCACCACCACCACCATCACCACCACCACTACTACCACCACCACCATCACCATCACAAATAATACTACTACTACGTCCACTACTGGTGCTACTACTAGAAGTGTCACTTTACTAACTGTTATGGTATGGGTAGCACTGACTGAAGTGACCTTAATACGGACAAAAGAAAGTAACTAACAATATCGTAAATAGCTAACTAATGCACCAGCAACCTCAGCAATGAATACTACTAATAGAAATTGCGGTGAGTGATTGTATCACCACTAGCACAAGCAATACCTCGAAAGACACGACGGACGCGCACTCAACAGGAAAAGCGGCAGACAAAAGAAGTTTACAAAATCATGCCTACTTAAATCAATAGGCGTTTATTTTTAATTTCGCAACTCTCCGATTCGCGGCGTATCGGAGTCTTGCGACACTGGTATCATACCTTCGCCGGACCTGGGCCTGCTTTTTTCGCAGCTCACCTTCACTGAAGATCGTCTTACTATCCGCCACCTGTGGACGCGTCGGGTAGCCAGCAGCTAGGCTAACGGGCAACCCGTCTTCCCAGCAAGGGGCAACTAGATGAATTAGATCTTGACCCAGTGACTTGGTGGGTTTCGGTCAAATTAATTCTCTTCTTATTGGCGTAGGCGAGAATAAAAGATTATCTCCTAGTTCAAACAGTGTAAAAACTTGTCCTTGTTGGTCTGGGCAATAGGGGAAGAAGGTCTTACTTCATGAATGTAAGTTTAGTGAATGAAATTAGAGGTGACTGGCACTTTTTTGGTCATCCATCTAGAATGCTTTGTTTTGGGACCTCAGGTCAAAATCAGGTGACAGTTTCTTTCGGTATTTCCCGTGTAACTGGGTACAATCTTGGGATGTCCAAAGGGTTCTGCAGTGTGTTTAGCTCTTTGTTTCCTCGAGGTCTATTAACCTTACATACACAGTCATCCCTTGTCGTTTCTATCCCAGAACATGTACGATATTTGCCGTCTATTGAAACCGCTTGCGCATTCCATCCTTTCTTCTACAGACTGTCTGAAGTTCCTGGCCCATGAACATTGGACGGTTGCTTGTTTCCCTGCATTTGATTGGTTAATTTAGATCAATAATTAATCTCACCACCAAACTAAAGATTATGTTCTACTTCAGTCCTCAAGTCGGACATTCCACACATCAAAACAAAGTGCTGACTGCAATATCTGAGTTTTGTCACCAGTTTCAAACCTCCCTCCCACCGTTCTACGACGTTTAGTGTGTCTTGATAAATTAAAACGCGTCTGATTTATTATAATGAGGAATATGCTGAGGTCCCATGAGGATGGGGTCGCCACAACAAGCCTCATTCTCTATTTCCCCTCCCATGCATCAGTCGACTAAATGAGCCGCTCAGTCAACTGGTGCAGGTATTGGGCGCAAGTTGCCGACACATCTATACAACCCTTCTGCGCGTGCCACACACAAACTGACCCTGTACACAATGATCGAGGTCCCGGCACAGGGACGTGTACGGCCCGGATCTCACCTGCGCTAGATTACCACAGAAACCAAATAGAGATGGGCACGAAGAACCCGCTTCCCGCCTACACGAGAGGCGCCCATTGCGTGCCTTTGGTGAGTGATGCGGGACCGGTTCCTGTGTGCCGTATGCGTTGATGGGGTAATGTGCGATGGTGCGGTTTTGTTTGCGGCGATCTATCTCAGGCTTTTATGTAGGTGCATATAGCTGATTAGGTCCATCCTCTGACTGAATGTGGGTGGACAGTGCGCTCAGTCGAGGCGGGTGTAGTAGGTGAATTTTGGGGCCCCAGGCACTGATTCGTCGGTCTCAGCGCGATGGTCCACAAGCGATCGACCATACCAACGCGTGATGTGAAGGTGTGATTGTAAAGAGGGCAACTTGGGATCGAGTTCCCATTGCCGGTAGGGGGGAGTGATGATGAGGATCGAGGTTGACGGAGTGTTGGGAGGGCTCTCACAGGGTTTGCACGATATTTTGAAGATTCGAAATATCGTGAAAAATACTGAGTTGCTTTTTTAGGTTTCGCTTCGTCGTGGATGAAGCTGTCAAGTTCATAGGTTGGCTTTGCATATTTGACTAATTATGACTCTATTTTACGATGTGCACGTAATAGTTTTATTGTTTAATTCGCAATTGGTTCCGGATTTTGGTTCGCGGCCACATTTTCGAAAACTTTTTGTGTTTCCCATATCATGTACATTTTTTCGCTCTCTTATTACCAGTTCAGTAGTATGTAGTTCCCATTAACTATTTGTTGCCACATCATTACCCATTCAATCCTGACTTATGCTAAGCTAACCTATGTCTTGGTCGGTCTTTCACCTGAAACGATATTTGCGGAGCTCTGCCCTTATATTCTGAATTTAGAAAGCTTCCACTGTTAGGAGTTTGAGAATCTGTCAACTTTACATATTGTAACTTGAGGACTCAGTGATGTTCTACCTTTACACTCAGAATCCCAGCCACTTAGACTTTTGTGCTCCTGACTTCATGTTGGAACAAGTAAAATTTTCGAAAAAGGATTCAAAATTATCGACTGAATTTGTTATGGTTTTGTTTTGCAACCCTTACATCACATCGTAAATTTTGTTTATGTCAGTCGAGAAACTGAACTGTTCTCGCTTATTAGCGGCGCTTGAGTTGGTTGTGTTCGTGTTTTGCCGTATCGTAAGTGTGGTCGGTGTCTGACTTCACTACTTCATCTGAACCTTCACTTGTTCCTTTACTTTATTCCCCTATAATTAATTTTGTCTTATCGTAACTCTACAGAAAAGAGAATTTAAGCCTTTGGTGTCGGAGTGAGGTCTTAAGCTTTAACCTTGGAGTATTTATTATCTTCTTTCGACTGCTACTGCGTCCCGCTTTTGGGTGTTATCTTGGTTAACCTACTGCTTACGTCGGTGCTTTAGCTGCCGACATATATCCGTATGTATTTGATATTTATGGTCTGGAACACTCAGTATGCACTTCAGCATGCTAAAGTGTGTATTGCAATACACAACGCTGAAGACATTGTTTCCTATGGATCATAAATGTCATTTATTGCTAAAATGCAAGATCCTCGGCCCCTTCATGCGACCTGGTCAGAAATGACAGCACCAGAAGGTTGCCGTTTACCGAGTTTTTCTCTGGTTATATACTGTGTCTCAGGACTAGCTCGGTTTAATCAATCCGAGTACTCTGTAGTCCTGCTTCCCAAAGTCATATCGCAGAAGCACTGTCAGTTAGGGGGCATATTTTATTTTCATACTCCTGTGTCCTCAATAGATATGATCATCGAAGATATTTTACTTCAGTTACCATTATAAGCCATCCCAGTCACTGCGCACTCTCGAGTTCTGATCATGTCTCTTATTTTGTCCTTAGGTTAGTCATTCGCAGCTCACTAGCCTTCCCCTTCTTTCGCAATGGCTGACTACGTATAACAATTCTGGGATACCATGGGAAATATCCTCCGTTTACTTACCAGTCGTTCGGAGGAAATCAAAGACGACGTTGACATCTTTGTGGACTTTGAAAGTGAGTTAATAAACGACTTCTGCTCTAGCGCACACATCTTGTTCAAACGAATAGAATTAGGTTTTCAACTTTTCGTGCGGAAAAATATGTTTCTGTCACATTCGTAATGAGAAACTCTCCTGCAGTTGTACGTAAAAGTTAAAATCGAGCGGCAGTATTCATTTATTTTGGCTAATTGATTTGTATGTCTTTGTTTTCTATCGGAACAATATGTCATGTCAAAACACACTTATCGGTCTTTCAGATTGTCAGCCGTCCGAAGAGGAATATGATCTATGGCTTGAAATAAACGAGAAACTCGCACACACTGACGATGTTCTACGCCTCGTTCAAAATTATCCTGGCGCGGCCACAGAGATTCGCGTTGCTATTGAGAGGTACTCGGATGCAAATGCACAACTTCAGGCCTGGAAAGCCCTTTGCCCACTTGTGCAGCAGTTGCGTTTCTGCTACGATTTTGGTGTTGAATTGGGTATGCCGCGTTAACTTTCTGTTTTTTTGCCTGTTTTAATGAGAGTCGTCCCTTATTCCTTAGAAATAATTGAGCTCCACATTAATTGCCACACAGATACTTATTTCCCATGGCGCGGACGTTTTGGTATTGGTAGATCTTCATCTTAACCAATGTAACACATGTAGAAGGTCCACTGTTTTGCTAACTTGTAACTCTTCGGCCCATTTTGGTATTGAGTGGTGGCTATAGAAAATTCAATAACTGCAGGGTTATCTTAACCAGAACGTTATTTGCAGTTGCTCTCTAGGAGCACTTCAGACATTTTTAAAGCGCTGTGGTGGTAGCGGTAGTCCCGGTAGTAGTGGTGGCCGTAGCGGCTACAGCAGCCCTAACGGTTGTTAGAATCAACGCAGTCTTCGTCCGTCCTCACCGAAGAGACCACTGCAGTTGTACACCAGATTTCTAACAGTAAAGCAGCGCACGCTGACTCACTCATGAGTTTTACACGTATAGTGGCCCTGAGCTCGTGGAAAAACTCACCTAGCCATTCCAGGAGATTGTAGATACTCCCAGGACTTTCTGGACTTCACCGTTGTTTGCCCATACCAAAGCAAGACGAACCGGCAACTCTGTGGCAAGCACGAAGATCTGTCCCCTTAAATGTGAAAAAATCGCAAGCGAGGTATTTTCCAGCATCTTACGCAATCGCCTGAATCCAGGACTTCCACCAAAAAACCAATGCAGACATCGAAGAAACCGAAAGTTCTATTGTCGCAGCGACGACGTTCACCCCAAGCCCCACTGAGTGGGTCCAGCAGCGACTTTAGCGCAATTCAGCTTGTAGTAAGGCAGACTTGCTCCTATAGGAAGACAATGTCAAGATGACCGGACGTGGGTGCAGGCGGCGGCTGACAAAGCCAAGCAGCCCGCGTGTCACACACGGTCTGATCCCCACAGCAAGTACCAGACTTTTACAAGAGCGGTTCGGCCTCATGCGTGAGAATATCAGGGAGGCTACATTAAGGAACCTTTACAGCCTAACTCGCAGTCCCCCAGTCTTGGAAGGATCGGCGGAAGCATCAATATTGCCTCCGCTCCCCGTCAACCACAGGAGAACTGCGAATGAATTAGGATCAGACTCAACACCACCTATGTAGTCAAATGTAATGGCTTCTGGAAAATCACTCTGGACTTCCACTGTCCAGAACGTTTAACATAGGTAGTACGACAACTCTCCAACGGGATGAGGATTCTGGTCGTGGGTAGCGGGGCAGTCAGAAGTCTTCGCAGTGACCGACTTAGTGGAGCAAGTTCATGTACTTGCCCTTATCCTGTTGCGCCTCAGGCTTTCCTCCAGGCTGATAGACTGTGAGGAGTGCTCGAAAAATTTCATAGCCCTCCAAACTGGCGGGGAACTACTCGGCATCCAACCTATCCAAGAATTTACTTCAGTCTACGACCAGTGCCCATGATCTTCTGTATGCCAATGATTGCGCGGTCAATACAGCTTTCGAAACGGATCACGAACCTTATTTAACCCAACAGCACAAACTTCAGACTGACCATTAGCAGATGATGTTTGTGTATCGGCCAACATCTGATGAGTCCAATGCACCCAGGATCAGCGTAAATGGATCTTGCACAGCATCCATGGCCATATTCACCTGCCTTGAAGATAAAATCTTAGCATACCGCACGATCGATGGCGAAATTGCTATGTGGATATCCAAAGCCTCTTGGACCCCTGGCCAACTGCAGGATTCTATTTGGGACCGCCGTGGCCTTCGCGTAGACATGAAGCTGAATATGTAGCGAGCCACCGTCTCGACAACACTCCTGTTTGGAGACACAGAAGTGGGCATTCTACCAAAGTTAGGCAAGGAGGCTATACTACTTCCACCTCAGTTGTCCCCGCAGAACACTGGAGCTTGCTTGACAACATAGGGTCACGACACGGTAGTTCTGGAGAGAACCGGCGCTTGCTGATTGTTTATTGCCTCGTGCGCACTTACATTTGGGCGGCATAGTACTCATATTTGATGACGTCGGGTGTTTTGTTTCAATATCGTACCTTTCAGGAAGCTGGTCCCCCTGGGAGATATTACGACCTGCTGCATTTGCATGTGCATACTTAAGAAATACCATTCAGTTAAAACGGTCTGATCTTCTATGTCTGCGCATATATCTTTCCCCTTAATCGAGTGCCCCTCTGAATCCGATTCCATACATAAAGGCAACAGTGCCGGACGCGTTCTTTAAGCATTATTGCCAAACTATGATGAATCCCAAAACCGAATTCTTCCGGCTGTGCACGCCGCTCCCGTAATGGTGTAATGGCTGTCGAAATGTAGTGCTTTGAAAACGCTGTTTTTGCTACATTCATGTGCTCATAACCTGCTCTAATTCCAAGCCAGGGCCCTTTTATTACGTGTCTTTGTCATTCTAGCACAGACCATCCCCCGCCTCCTTAATGCCCTCTGTTCCGATGAACTAACTGTTTGGGAACACCTCGAATCTCAACAAGCCCTGTTCAAACAGTTTGCAGAAATCCTTGACTTCATCATGAAGTTCGACGATTTAAAGGTGAGTACAATAACATTCACCATTCACTCCTTTTTCGAATGGGGTGCCTGGGCTTTTTTCAACGCACACCGGAGCCATTTTTTGCTTCCGGCCATTCTATTCACCACACTTTTCTAAAGGCTATCCGGAGCTTAGTGCAGAATTTCGCGCTTACTGTTGACAACCGAAAGGAAAGTATGTTAAGCCCGAGTTGTTGTTGAAGGACATTCGCCATAGCTGCCATTCCTTGGAGAAGGCATGCAGTTATGGTGATCGGATGTCCTTGCATATTTTGTACGATCAGGTAAACAATGTAAAACAGGTTTACTTGGATAAAAAAAACAGACAGTAGATAAGTCCTATAATTCTCAAGAAACCAACATTGTTGAACGCCCAAGTTGGTCCTTCGCTTAAAATTTTAATTCTCATGTTCGTCACGCACCATTCGTCCGAGTCATTCCCTATGAAGTCTTCACTGAATTAACTGTAGTGAGTGTATTTGTGTTCAAACAATTAGATTTTGTATTCTCCTAAGGACACACGGTCATTACCACGCCTTTGTCTCGTTTAGCTTCGCTTTTCGCGGTTTCACCTCCCTGCGTGATTTTTCAATTAATTACTGGGACCTTTCCCCTTGGAGCAATTTTTCCACTCGGGGACATTTCAGCGAAATACTTCCGTTTCAAGTCATTTCTGAGACACTCACATTTCCATTCTTTCGATTTCCACTTTGATGCCATTGAAAGAAGGGTTTGTAGCAGTTACAAAAACATGATAGCGTCATTCTGCTACTCACACGGTCGGATCATTCTACGGTCATGGCCTCGTTTATCTGGTGTTCATTTTAAAAACGACCTTTCTATAGGCAGGTCGGACTTGCACGACAGCCTGCAAGCGTTTCAAAACTGATCTCTCGCTTGTCTAATATAAGTCCCCTGTCTTATAAACTCGCCTTATAAATATATTTCTGTCATCTCTGTTTATCAGTGTCATATAAACTATCCAAGATAGTTGAGGGCCAAGTTGCTCTATTAGTCACGTGACCAATATTTCTGTCCCAAGTTTTCCTAGATCCTGAAAATTGTTTTCCCTGGCTTTGTACTTCCGTCTCGAGCCCAGGCTACTCTGACTGGCCCGAGCATAAGTCTGCCAGAGAGGCGATACGTCATTCAAAAATTCCCGTTTTTATTCTACCGTCTGTCTCTGATAGGTCGGGGAGTGCATTTCTTGTAAACACTTATTCGGTATTTTGGTACGACGGTAGTTTCGTCACCGGAATAGGCGCTCCTGAGGTCAGAAGACAGTAAGGATAGCTAGGATAATTCGTCGGTTCTGTAATAATGTGTCAATAACATTGACAGGGTACGAAACTGTTGCCTAAAGGGGTCAGAACCAAAATTTGAACTTAAATTAGGGGTGATTTAATCAGCAGCCCCAAACAATGGCACCAGCATTTGATGGTCCATGGAAAAAGTGGGTGAATCAATATGGGCGGTCACAGGAACTGGGTCAAAGGAGATCAGTGTAGATAAGCCATTCGAACATGAGTCTAATTACTGTCTACTCAGCATGGGATTTAAGTCGCATGATGAACAGTGTTCGGCAGAAACTGCGGAAGTAGGAGCAGACGGTGAGACCTGCTGGCGAAGCGAGAGGGGGCAGTGTAGAGTATGTAGCAAGCAACCTGCATTCAGCATTAAGAGGGAAGGAATGTTACATTTCTTGACAGTGATTTCGTGTTCTCATCTGTTTATTTGGTCCAAAAGCCAGTTCGCACATTGGATTCAAGCCGGTTCGCTTGGCATAGTTCTAACGAACGGGTGTCGCAAATAAGTAAAGCATGCTTTTGAGGAGGCGTGTCTCCGTTGATTAAGAACATTGAGACCGCAGGATTTTGATGCTTTCCTGCCACACCCGGTTATGTTTACTCTTCCTCATCTGGTGTCTTCCTAGAAATATTTTGCGCGTAAAAATGAGATTAAAGCTTATTATAGTCCTCTTCTTAGCTGCTGAGTTAGGTTCTTTCTCAGGCACCACAGTACACTTGTGCCATCGCTTCACAGAATTTGTGCAAACTCTGAGGAATTAAGAATCAGTCGCGGCCTGAAAACACTTAGTGCATGATAGACTCGAATTTCTGGCATCTTCTTCTGAAGTGAAGTGCTGACATCCACGCCGATTAATGAACGCTAGTCACGACTGAAATGGCTTTACACCAGGAGAGACTGGCCGCATAAATCCAATAGAATCATTATCCTGGCCATTGTACTTTCAGATTGCCTATTAAGAAAGATAAATTAGACTATACCCATTTGGGTACTAGGAACCTATGTTCACAAACTTGGGTTTTCGGAAATTTTCTACCAAACGATTACAGGTAACTAACAGAACGGACTGAACACCTGGCTATCAGTTCGTAGTTAAGTAGGCATCATAGGCGGTGAGGTTGTTGGATCATTAATGGGATCAGCATTAGCGGGTGGAAGGGGATGAGGACGAAAAAACACAGCAGGACTGGTGGACTGGGTCGACGTCTAGCGGAAAGAGCGCCCTAGCACATAATGTGTGACCACTGTTTTTGGTGCAGCTCTACCACGCTTCATCATTCTGTTCGTTTTCCACTGCCCATTGCCATTTTAAGCACCATTCAAACTTCATAATTTCTGTGCACAGCCTTCCTCATCTCCTTTTTAATAAGGAATTCAGTTTACTGCATGCGTTTATTCGTCTTAACTCATCAGCAAGTTCGGCAGTATGAAGTTCCTTCCCTGGATGGTAGCAGTCCAATTCCGGGTGAATTCACTGGTTCACGTTTAGCATAGCACCACCAAAACCCTCGGAGCCTACGGATGACTTGGCTTCCGTGGGTTATGTCTCATAGTTGCAGTGGTAATGGTGGCAAAAACCAGGATGAACTGGGCTGTCTCCCACTCGTACCCACCTTCCTGTCTGACGCACACAAATACAAGATCAGACAAGTCCACGTCAGTTGGTCTTTTGACCCCTCACCCGCCTTCCAGTTCTAATCCCTTGTCTATGTGTATGCACATCTGACTCATCAGTGTCTGTGTCCACAGCATTCTCCTCTTTCGCTCAGGCACGTTTACGCGCGTGCGAGCATCTACTTACGACCACTGCTGCATCTGGCGACTGCCTACTATACGAACGCTGCATGCTGGATCCCCGAGCATGCATCGGCCGCAGTTTTTGCCGGCGCTGTTTTGTGGTGTGGCGTGCGGGTTTTTTTGTGCGTAAACCAACTGATCACTTTTCTACCACCACTAAACTGCTGTTTGCATGACTAAGCTCTCCTTTTCGTATATATCTATGTAAAGTAGTGTGTGGGCCGCGGACATTCTGTTTTTCTCGATCACAGGGAATGATGCGGTACTAGTGGGGCTAGTGCGTACCACCTGTCGGACGGGGCATGCGTCGCCATTTCCATCTGGAGCTATTCGCCCGTCCTTCCCTGCCGCCCTTCCTCGCCTTGGCAGTTAACCGAGAGTGGCTGTAAGCCATAATTTCCGTACCGCAAATAACCAAAAGGCACTCTGTGCTTTTGTCCACCTACGGCTGCCACTTGTAGCCAGCCCATCAAGCTCCCTTGATTGTGCCTCTTGTTTGGTGCCTGCAACTTCCTTGTGCCGACCTTTCTTGCTCATAGACATGATGCCACTAACGCCTGCCAATGCGTGTGGTCGCTCAAAAGTCAGCCCTTTTACCGTAATAGTAGGCAGAAAAGAGAGGGTCTTGCGTACTTGCATTTTTTACTTGTGCTGTGTGTTGGCCATGGTGCCAATTGTCCTGATAACTGATCATTTGACAGTGGTGCTAATTTACAGTTTTTTTTTGAGGTCATGTATCTATGTGACCTGAAAGAGAATGCTCATATATCCTTTGTCTATCTACAAATATGTCCATCTCTCCTATATGTCACGTCATTTTGGAGAATTTCATGATACAGCTTTTGTCTTCGGAGGAAGATGCCTCCCTATTTATGTCCGAAACTAGGTATCCAACATGTGGACTCTGTTAGACGTTCTTCTAATTGTGTACTCCGCGTTTCGAAATTCAGGCCACCTCGGAAAGCTCTCCAGATTGAAGCTAATATACTAATTGCACCTGCTTCCTTACCACCGCGCTCTTCTAGACACGAGTTCAATGCATTTGAGGGTGGGTGATCGGACAGTGCCGTTGGAACCCTTATGAGTGCTAGCTTTCACCGGGACTCAAAAGAGTTGCCCATCCTGTAAATGGTTTAATTTCAACTGGGAAACTAGCCTTTATGTGCAGACCACCTGGATTTTAAATAGACCAGAAGTCTGCGTCGTACTATATCCTGTATTCCTATCTGTTCTCCAGCAGGGTGATTTCTTCGACTAACGACCTCTCACATGGGATAAGACATTACTTGTGGTCTGGCCGTCGGCTTCGTAATCTTCACCTTTTTTCCTCAGATAAACACCATCCTTTGTGCATTCATACATGCTCTTTGTCCTTTCAACCAAGCCTCTCACCCCCTCCCGCCAATGAGGGACCCGTTATGCACCATGCGTCCCACGTGCACATTAATCAAACGGGCTCCCTTCCGCCCTTCCCTACCCGCGACACCTTCACTTGCTTCAAACTGTGGTGGTGCCTTTGATCTTTATTCAACGTCATCCGTGTTTTTTGCCCCTTTTTCTTCTTTTAGATGACTAAACCCTCAATCCAAAACGACTTCAGCTTCTTCCGCCGTCTCCGGAGCCGACGACGTGTCAACCCCCCACTCTACCAGGCAAGGCCGCTGACACGACTTTTCCTTGACCGTTTTTGTTGTGTCTGCACTTTTTGTCGTGCTATCGAACGTTATTAATGCGCTTACTCGGTAATGAGGATGGTGGGCAGATTAAGTGCGTCCCTTACACTTCCTTGCATTGTAGTTCTGGGTTCCGTCCTCCCCCTTCCATCTGCGTTATTGGCTGCCTCTTTTCGTCGCTGTTTTGTAAATTTCCTCTTATCTTTTCAAGACCTTTGTCTTTTTAAACAAGCATTCACTAGGGGGTTTGGTTGTCAAAGGAGGTGACTGTCTCGTCTTTTCCAGAGTAGCACTTTAATTCAGGCTTCCTGTCCTCATACTGCTTACATTATGTGACGAACCACATAAAAAATCGCCTTTCATTATTGTTGAGCACGAAAACTGGTCTTAAACTGATTCCTGCACCGTGGCATTCTGACTTTCGCTCTAATCCACTCGACTATTGACTCACCCTTCGGACAAATCACTGTTTAAGCAACATGGGTTTCTCAAAAGCATTTTCAATATGCATGTAAGGGTGACTTTGTTTCTTAGAGGGCAGTGATAAGAAGAGTGTCGTTGCAAAAGCCGTCCCCTTACATAGCAGTTCGACTATCGATTCCGATTTCCGCCGTGTGCACCACAACATGTTGGGCGCAGGAACGGTGGCCTGTGAAACATTTCATCTTTTTAACAATATTTAAACATTTCAAGAGTTGCAGCGTAAAATGAGTTAAAGACTGTATGTCCTGTTGTTTTAGAAAATTGGTAAATTTTTAAAATTCCTTAGAATCATAATATCATCATTTTGCGCTCTGAATTTCGATAATGCGCAATTTTTCCGGCGTCGACTGTAAGATCGCCGTTAGTGACTACGGGTGTTCGCACTGCGCATGAAGTATATTGTCATAATGTTCTCTGTCTTCTTCGGTAGTGATTTTCATTTGTACCTGCGTTCTTGTAATTGCTACGTCCGTAATCACGTCAGATCTAACCAGCTTTGTAAATGTCCCGCGCCAGCGAGTCCAGTTCGTTTTCATTTCCAGCAACAGAAACCGGCTCTCTGATATTCGGCAACCATCTCTATATCGAAACCGGGTGTGCCAGGCTAGGTTTTGAGCGAACTTGTCCGTGGGTAGGTGGCTTTGGATATAGGGCGACACGCGGCAAGGAACGTACCAAACCCCCTCCAGCGGAGTTTCTCGGTTGGCCTGACAGTCGTATTCGAGATAAAGTCGGTGTTATTCCTTGGACTAATCGTTCATAAGTAACGATAGTCGGGGACCTCTAGTTTTCGAACGCAGTTCGTCATTCATGGCCATCAAGAAAGCCTGGTGGATGGGCACTTAATTCTTTTTGACAATGAAGATATCACTGTCAGCCCTAGACACCGTCGTGGTCATGCAGACTTCCTGAAAACAGCATCGATTCGAACAACAGTGCCATCCCCTTCTCATTTGACAATACCTTGGTTTAGGTAACTACTACACTTCACTAGCCGTAACTCACGGATGGTGCCTTTTCTCGACCAACGATACTTTAACTCTTATACCCGGACCACGTGATCCCTGAAAATACCTGTGTGGGGCCCAACCTGGACGATATCGTCAACGGTTGGTCCGTCGGCGTCCCGATGCAATCTCGACAGCGTCTAAACAGTACGGTGTTTTTGAGAACCGTGTGAATAATGTAATTGAACGGGCGCACTATAGGATGGATCCCAGTATAATGCCTAGTCAAATCCCGAACATTTTTGATAAGGGATTATTAGTAAATTTCATAACTATTGGAAAAGCGCTGATACGCCTTGATCAAGAATGTAAGTTTTGCTAACACCCAGTTTAGCCACATTTTCCTCTATGGAGACCATTAAACGAAAGTGAATACTGGAGCAGCCATCGGTTCCGCGTGCGCCATTGCAGCTGTTGCGTTTATGACCTTACTTGCGTTCCGCGTCTTTTAGCCACGGCGTTAAAGCGGCGTGTAAGGTAAACACTGTCTGGTCGCCGCACCCGATTGTCACTTGTGGAGACTGCAATTCATTATTCTCTCGCACAACGCACACTGTCCTGAATTTTCGTTCCGTCAGCTGTCACATTCTACTTGTTTCGACCATTTTTTGTCCTGACGCCAATGGCTCGAGTACGTAGACTTACCTTCGTATCTTGATTAACTTTATCATTCGAAGCATTTTGTCCCCGGTGCAAAGCTGAAGCAAGCATGCAGGGCAGGATTTATTGCTCATGCCTTTATGGACCATCTAGAAGCAAAAGTGTCCGCTAAATTGAACTTTCTACCACTCTACAAAAGATACGTGGATGATGTTTTCGCTGTTGTTGAAGACATTAAAGAAGCTGAAGAATTGGTTACTTTTATGAATAAACCACAGCCAAGGATCCAATTTACAATGGAGAAGGAGCAAGACAATTAACTATCTTTCCTGGACGTTCTTATGTTTAGACAGGAAGATAGTTTCTTAAGACATTTCGTTTTCCACAAGAATACTTGGAGGGGCAATACTTGCATTTTTTGAGTTTTGTACCCCTACAATGGAAACGGAACTTGGCATACACTCTTTTCCAAAGGACCAGGAACATTTACTCTAATGAAACATTGAATGCAAAACTTGTATGCCTCAAATGAACCCTGCTCAAGCGTGGATACCCTGCACGCTTCATCCACAAGTACAACAACTCTACGCGGCCAAAATTGACAGAACATTCAGTTCCGAAAAGCCCGTTTTTATATCTTTGCCATTTAAGGGTGACACTGTTTTAAATACCATCAAACGACGGCTGCGTTGCACCATTGAAAGGACTTACAATGCGGCCCGACTCATATTATGCAGTTCTACTAAACCTCTTCCAATTTCAGGGGCAAGGGAAGCCCTGCCATTGCACGCTACTTCAAATTGTGTTTGTGAATTCTCATGCACTTGCGGATGCAAGTACATTGGGTGAACGCAGAGGCAGTTAACAGTCTGGTCTATTGAGCACCTGCCCAGATGGCTTTGAAAGCAAGAAATCGAAATTCCGCGCTCCTCCATTACAAAGCACCTGCTTGATAGTGGTCACTCCATCGATCCTAAAACACCCGTCTGAGCACTTGCTCGGGCACTAACAACTCGGACATTGCTTTATCTGGAGGCGACCTATATACGGCGGGCGAAACCAGATCCGTGTAAACAACTAGAACACGTGGCCTAACCTCTACTTCCATGATTCCACACTTCCCGTTTTGCTCGTTAAGGCTTTTTTCCCTCTACTCTATCCATACTCTTTTTAAGTTACCAATCGATTAGACGGCGTTACCAAAACCCATGTCCTTGCTGTTTCTGCACGAATTCAAACTGCTGTATTCTTCCCATTCGTTGTTTATGTTATAAAGCGACAGGATTCAGCTGATCAGCTGTCTCGCAATTTTTCGGTACCAATATGGGAAGATACTAATCCACCAAAGCTCCCGTTTCACTATTTTCTTTAATAATAAACCCCTAGGTGCAGTGGGGCTTCAGCTTGACGCAGTACTGTGGACTTCCGGTTGAGCAGTATTGCGTGTCCCTCGCTTGTAACCATTTATCAAGCCGGCCAAATTATACTGTAAGAGTATGAGTCCCGGAGGTAACACCGTCTGAAGCACTCATTGAGGCTCTCCGGACAGCTGTCAGTACTGTACCAGCAGTCATGTTACTCCTTCCTCACAGAACTTAAACATTGCGCGCTCGGGGATGCGGTGGAAGAAAAAAGTATGCGAATGCTCCAGCCTCACACTGCAGGCTACAGGAGACCGCAGTCAGGGGTTCAACGTTGATCTTGTGAACGCATGATCAAATATTCCGGAGTATTGGCTCCTATCTGTTTCAGTCACAACTGTTTCCTCCAAACCAACCTCTTACGCGTGCCCTTTGACTCCATGCGCTTGTGTGTTAGACTCTCAACCCGGCACACTGTTGCGTCAGCTCAGAACAGCGCATCTATTCTGTCAGACGACTGCACGCGTAAAGTTTGCTTATCTATGGTTGCCTAATGGATAGTGGGAGTATCCAATCCATCCTCGCACCAGTCGTTGTCCTCTCTTGATTTAGTTTCTGGCCATTGTCTATTTTGGATTCTTGCTTGCGTATTTTCGAAGTCCGGAGTCAATAGTTGTCGATGTGCAAATTATTCGCTAACAGGTTAGTGTTAACGCGACTCAAGTCCGGCGTCGGTTTGGATTTTTGCCCCACAGATTGTGTGAAGCCCTCATAATGAATAGTAGAGGGTATTAGACAAAGCTGGGCGGTGTTTTCAGCAACCTCTTTCGCCCGACCAGTTCAGCTTCTACTGCTGGCTGTTACTGAAAGCACTCGCTATTTAGAGTCGTTCTTTCAGTTGGGTCTCCAGTATGCACGGGTTGAAAGCAACTTTGAGGTGGCAGTTGATTGTCGGTGGCTTCTAGGGCGTTCGACGGAGGTAGTGGATGAGCAGCTTATTCTGGTTGGCCTGAGAATAGGAGTTTGTTGAGAGATAGGGAGAGCGAGAGAGAGAGAGAGTTGTGAGTCATCCCGACTGTCCATGGAGAAAAGCCCTGGCATCTAACTTGGTCTCACGGAGGTTGGTGTTGCATTTTTATTCCCTTTAATTAAACGCTCGCAACTCCAAAATGTCCATCCTTACAAATGACCTTGAATGACTTATTTGCCCAATTACGGTTGAATATGTGCTCTTGTTCGTCTGCCCTATTCTCCAAAGACCGCTAGCACCTGTGGAGTGGCGGGAAGTAGTGTTGACTTTTGCGTAACGTGGACTACTGTGGGACGGGATCGCGCAGCATCAGCCCCATTCCCATCTTCTGTTCCCACTCACTAAATTAATTCCTACTGAGTCAACACGATTAGAGGCGAGCTCGGGCGCCGCGGATGACTAGGCATTCGCCCACGTGTTTTGTTTACCGCGCACTCACTGATACCTTTTTCCGGCCGAAGCTTGGCTGTATCCTTTTGGGTAAAGTAAAAGCCCAGTCAAGATGGTGTTATAGCGGCCTGGTTCTGACCCGGGGCCCGTTGGCAGCCAACTGGCGACTTTCTAAGGCACATATTT